TGGGTGGGAGACTTTCACTGTGTATCCCTTTGTACCTTTTGAATTCAGTACCATGGACACGTATAACTTTTCCTCCCCACCATAAAAGGACGAGATAGAGCTACATGTATTGACATAGGCAAAAGAAACAAAGAAATGTTAAAGAAAAAAATCAAGTTGCAGAATATGTACTATACAATCCCATTTTTATAAAAATAAATAAATTTACATTTGTGTCATATGTGTATATACACAGGCATAAACACTGTATGTTTGTATATACACAGAAAAAGTTCTGGTGGTTACACACTAAACAGCTAATTGGAAGGAGCATGTAACTTGTTTCAAGGAGTAATACTGAGTTTTTTTCCTTATACTTCTGCACTGCTTGAATTTTTTACAAGTATGTAGTATTTTTGTGACTACAGTAGAACCTCCATAGTTGACGACCTTCCTACACTGACCACCTCCTTAAGTTTATTTAATTTTCATAGACTGGACAAGCACCACATGTACTTATTGTCCAGTAAGCCTAGTTCCTTATGTTGACTGGTTTGTTATAGTCCCTTGGGTGATCAACTTAAGAGGTTCTAATTATCAAGTTAAGCATTGTAGTGCCTTCAGCATTGTCCCTCAGAAAAGGCGACGGGCTCTCTAAGCATCTTCTTGTCACTGCATCTAAGCCCTCCCCTGGGCTCATGTCACACTCCTCTTCGCCTCTCTGAACACACCTGTGGTTCCATGCCTCCCTCTCCAGTCTGCCTGCTGAACTCCTAGCCATTCATGCAGACAACTGCTGCCCCCTCCAGGAGGCATATCAGAATTCAATCTAGCTGTCTGGTCACATGTCTGTTTCTCCTTGGTAACTGAGCTCTGTGAGGGCAAAGCTTGGCCTTCTTTGTCTTGGCACTCCTGGTACCCAGCCCAGAGCCTGGCACAGAGTGGGGACCCAGTCCTCTTGGCTCAGAGGCTCCTCTGTGTTACAGGCCAAGGGCCTCTGAACCAATCTGATGTTCAGCTATCAGCAGGGCCAGATTAGCTCCTGTCTGGGGATGTAGGTCTCCAACAAGAATGAGCACTGCTCTGAGACAGATCCTCCCTAGGTTACTTCCCAACACACTCCTGGATGCTCTGCCTTCTCCTCCCCATGATTTCACAATTTGCCTCGACGGTTATAGACTCTTTCACCCCTGGGAGAATTCTGTCCTCACACTGGCTTTACGGATCTAACACTGATGGGAAATCAAAGCTCCTAGGTCCCCACATTAACTCTTTTCTTTCCTTGCCAAATGACCAGGGAAATGATTCCGGCTAGAAAAGGGAGGCATTTGGCTTATTCTTTCTCTAGGTCAAAACACCACTTGAGTGAGCTTTTAGAAACATCTGTATGAAGGAAACTAGCCCTGGATTAGGACTAGGCACACCTGGTGATCAGAAGTTATTTCTTTGACTCTTAGTTTCTTTTTCTGTACAATGGGTGTAATAAAATTGGCTCTACCTGCTACACTCAGTTGCTGTAAACATCAAAGGGGATAAAGGTTTTCAAGCAGAGGTGTCCAGCTTTTTTTCTCTCTGCCACACATCGGAAGAAGAGCTGTCTTGGGCCACATGTTAAATAAATAAACACTAATAAAGCAGATTAGCAGGGCTGGGCTTGATGGCTCACCCTTGCAATCCTAGCATTCTGGGAGGCCGAGGTGGGTGGATTCTCTTAAGCTCAAGAGTTCAAGACCAGCCTGAGGAAGAACAAGAGCAAGACCCCCATTTACACTAAGAACAGAAAAATCAGCTGGGCACTGTGCCAGGCACCTGTAGTCTCGGCTACTTGGAAGGCTGAGGCAAAAGGATTACTTGAGCCCAAGAGTTTGAGGTTGCTGTGCGCTATGATGTCATGGTACTCACGCCCAGGGCAACTGAGTGAGACTGTCTCAAATTAAAAAAAAAAAAAAAAGCTGATGGGGGGGGGTGGGAAATAGTTTGCTCATACTTTTTATGATATCCAACACCACAGATAAGCAAAAAATGTCTTCACAAAATCAGCAGACGGCCTATGAGCCACAGGTTGGACATCCCTTATTGGTGGTGGCAGGCCACTACGGTGACTGGTCTTGTTTGTAATTTATATATCCTCCAACCCTGCTGCCTTGCAGGAGATGCCTGGGATGTATTTAGAGGCACAATACTTTTTTTTTTTTTTTTTTATAACTTTTATTTATTTTTTGCAGTTTTTGGCTGGGGCCAGGTTTGAACCCACCACCTCTTTTATATGAGACCAGCGCCCTACTCCCTTGAGCCACAGGCACTGCCTTTTTTTTTTCTTTTTGAGACAGAATCTTACTCTGTAATCTTGGCTAGAGGGATGTCACATCATCATAGCTCTCTACAACATCAAACTCCTGGGCTCAAGTGGTCCTTCTGCCTCAGCCTCCCAAGTGGCTGAGACTATGGGTGTATGCCACCACACCTAGCTAGTCTTTCTATTTTTAGTAGAGAAGGGCTCTTGTTCTTGCTCAGGCTGGTCTTGAACTCTTTTTTTTTTTTTTTAATTGAGATGGCGTTTCACTATGTTGTTCTTGTTAAGAGTGCTGTGATGTCACAGCTGACAGCAACCTCAAAGTCTTGGGCTTAAGTGAATCTCTTGCCTTAGCCTTCCAAGTAGCTGAGACTACAGATACCCGCCACAATGCCTGGCTATTTTTTGTTGCAGGTGTCGTTGTTTAGCTGGCCCAGGCCAGGTTTGAACCCGCCAGCCTCGGTGCACTTGGCTGGCGCTATAACCACTGTGCTATGGGCACTGAGCCAGTCTTAAACTCTTGACCTCAAGTGATCCTCCCACCTCCATCTCCTAGAGTGATGGGATTACAAGAATGAGCCACTCCTCCAGGCCTTAACACTACCCTCTGCTCCACCCAACATCAGAATCTCCAGTTATCTCCCAAACAGCCTCATACCTCTCAGTTTACCTGGTTTCTTCTGCTTATAATGCCTTCTCCTAACTGAAACTCAACCTTTATATCAAGGCCCAAGCTGCCTCTAGCAAAATCTCCCCACTCTGCCCTAGATGTCCTCAACCTTTCTTCTTAAACCCTGCAGCACCACTTGTATTACGCTTAGAGATCTAATTATTCTCCCTTCATTCAGACCCCTGAACTCCTTGGTGGCAGGGCTCTGACCCACTCATCTTTACAGCAATCCCCCGCCTTAGACAATAGTAGAAGTTCAGGAAATACTGCTGCATGGAGGCTGCTTTCCGAAGAAATTAGTGATGCATCTGCAGAAGGTGCCAAGAATTAATTACTCAGACCGTTTGGAGAGCTGCTTTGATCAAGTTGCCTAGCCTTATGCCACACTGCCCTCACCTCCTTTATCCTGGTCTATTTCAGAACTTCTCTCTGCCTGATAGGCATGGTAGAGAGACTTAAAGCCACTTGAATTTTGCTTAGAGGAGACAGAATAAGGAAAATGGGGTCACATCTGAGTCTCTCAGCCTAAGTCCTGCCTATCTTCTTTTGTGTCTGACCACTGAGAGCCAGTAGTGAGTTCTCTGCTCTAGGGGAAGGAAGGTGGCATGTCTCAACCAAGCTCAAGCTGGGTAGTGTTTTGAGAACATGAGCTTAAGCAGTTTCAAAACTGGCAGCTGCTTTGTGGGGCTGCTCTCTTTGGGTAAGACAGCTTCCGCTTAGGTCCATCTTCAGGTCTGGGTGGAGGAAGAGCAGTGGGGAGCTGCAGATTAAGAGACTGTGGAGGAAGGGAGAGGGTGTCAGGAAGTGAGAAGGTAAAATGGGCTAGAGTGAACTTAACCCTTTCTGATCCTATGTTGAACCTATTCTGACGTGATTTTATTTTGTTGTTTATAAACAAAAATAAGCAAAAATAATTATTTTATGTAACCTAAAACAGATAATAAAATCATTAGATGAATTCATATTTATATTTTTCTCTTTTAAAACTGTAAAATAATTAGAAGCAATCCATCAGCCTCTTTCCTGCCCAAAAGAAATATGAATATGCAGGCAGCAGGAAAATTGGACTGGAAAGAGTTAATATGGTGGAAAAGTGTGTGGAAGGTGAGGGGGCGGAAGGTGGGAGGTGCAGAAGTCCTCTTAGGTATCCAACAGGACATATGTTAAGGAAGGCCACGGATGGGTGTGGCCTTCAAGAGAGGCCATCAGTGGCTTGGTTACTCAGTAGGCTGGACCAATTTGGTGGAAGGACTGTTGGGGGTATGAGGGAGAAAAGGCTACATTGAGATAGTTAGGGACTAGGTGGGAAAAGGGTCAGGAATGTGGACCAGGGTCTGGGTTTTGGCTGGGACAGGTCCAAGGTTAGATGGTAGTTAGGGAGAGGAAATCAGCAAAATTAGATGATCACGTCTGGTTAAAAAGTAGAAACATCAAAGGTGCCAGGTTATTAGGAGCCAGCTGACAGGAATTGGATCCAGAAAGTGAACTGACAAACTGGGGGCTGAGGATTGTTTTTAAGGAAGGGGGCAAGAGCCTGATCTGGGGGTTGTAGTGAGCATCGCAGGTGCCACAGATTCCAGTAAGACAGGAATGAGAGTTTGGCCCTGGGGTGGGGTGAGGCAGATTCCTGACCAATGGTGACAAGATATTGTACCGTTCAGGGTCCTCGGGCCCAGTATCCCAGCAGGTACAGATTGGGGTTGATTCAGAGCTTACGATGGGGCTGGTCTGGCCGGGCCCAATAGGCTCAAAACAATGAGTTCCCTAATTGCAGTGTAAGGATCGGTTGACAGTGTTCCCAGCCGCGGCATGATGTATCAGGGTCCGGGTTGGGGGGGCAGGTAGAAATAAATCCCTATTTCAGGAAGGTGTCAGCGCCCAGATCCTGAGGTCATACTGGTTGGCGCGAAGTGGGCCTGGGGTGGAGGGAACTGTGGTGACCAGTGCAGGGCAGGGTCGGTGTTCAGGGAGAAGAGGTGTCCGTCCCGCCTAGGAAGGGTCCGTGTCAGCCATATCTGGGATAGGGGTGGAAAGGCCCAGTTTTGCCGCCGACCCTACCTTGCTGCGGGCGCAGCGCACAGAGCGCAGAGCGCCGAAGAAGATGGGCAGCAGCGCCATGAGCAGGAGGCTGCCGTAGGCCAGCGCGATGCCCTCGGGCGTGGAAGGCGGTCGCGTCGTGCCGTTGGTTGGACTGCCTGACTCGGCGCTGCCGTTGTGCGGGTCGCTGAGGGCCGAGTCCATGGCGAAGGTGCGTTCGGGATCCGACTTTAGCTCCAGCCGCAACAGCAGGACGCAGATAGAAAGACACTGGCGCTGCGGGGAAAGCCACGTTCCCCTAAAGCAACAGGAAATGACGTATCGCTCTTTCTATACCGCTTCGCGCACGCGCACGCATGTACGCGCGCGCGTTCACTTCTCCCCGCCCGCTCGCCCTCTAGCGGTGGCAAAGGGCTGGGCGGCGGGTTGCTAAGCAACCTGCTAGGTTCAGAAAGGAACCCTGGACCACTGCGGTGGGCATCCATCCGAAAAGAGACCTGAGGACCCCAATCCCCAGTTGCGTTCCATCTTCTCAATCCCAGGCTCTCCCACTGTCCACAAATCCTCATTTTCTTAATGAAGAATTTGTTTATTCATGCACGAATCCATTCTATATCCGATTGTTTATTCACTGATTAAATAAATACTTGTGTCCCACCATATGCCACTGTCTAGACTCGGGGACACTGAAGTGAACAATACAGGCAAAAGTTCGTCACTATCTTCATGAAGGTTGCACTTTAGTGTGTGTAGGAGGTTGGGAAGACAATAAATAAAATGAACAAAATAAAATGTACAGTCTGCAAGATGTAGTGTGTGACACAGCATGTTAATCCACTTAAATAATTTAGAGAAAAATGAATCAAAAAGAAGTCAGGGAGTTTGTGAGCTATGCAAATGTATTGCAAATCTATGTGCCAGGCAATAATAATCCCTTCCCAGTTCATGACCCTGTACAGTTTATAAGGTTTGTGGCTATTATCACAATTGGAAGAAACTACTTATTTAGATTTATGTGATCCTATTTTTAATATTGGTCTTCAAAACAGAAAGGTTAACATGTACACATGGTAAAAACTCAAGAGTACAGGCTGGGCAAGGTGGTCCACATCTGTAATTCTAACATTCTGGGAGGCCAAGGCAGGTGGATTCCTTGAGCTCAGAAGTTCGACACCAGCCTGAGCAAGAGCGAGACCCCATCTCTACTAAAAATTGTAGAGATGTGGTGGGAACTTATAGTCCCAGCTACTCAGGGGGCTGAGGCAAGAGGATCTCTTGAGCCAGGTTGCTGTAAACTATGATGCCAGAGCATTTTACCCAGGGTGACAGAGTGAGATTCTCCCTTAAAACAAAACAAAACAAAACAAAACCCCTCAACAATACAAAAGGGTACACAATGAACAGCAAGACTCCCTCCCTTTTTAGGTTCCTGGCCTTCCTGAAGGCAATCACTCTTTTTTTTTTTTTTTTGAGACAGAGCCTCAAGCTGTCCCCCTGGGTAGAGTGCCGTGGCATTACACAGCTCACAGCAACCTCCAACTCCTGGGCTCAAGCGAATCTCCTGCCTCCGCCTCCCGAGTAGCTGGGACCACAGGCGCCTGCCACAACGCCTGGCTATTTTCTGGTTGCAGCCGTCGTTGTTTGGTGGGCCCGGGCTGGATTTGAACCCGCCACCTTGGGTGTACGTGGCTGGCGCCTTAGCCACTTGAGCCACAGGTGCCGAGCCAAGGCAACCACTCTTAATACTTTCTTGTATATCATTCTAGATTTTCCTTGTCCATTGGTAAGCATATATACTCATTTACTCTTTCATTCAGCAAATCATTATAGCATACCTAGCACATAACAGGTGCTAAGCTAGGTTCTGGGAATCTAAATGCTATAAATGAAACAAATATAGGGCTGGGCCATGAATGGCCCAAGGAAATCACCTTGGGTAGAACACTCAAAGAAGGGCTGACACCAAAAGTGTAAAGGGGAGCCAGCTGAAGGATAAGAATTCTAGGTAGAGTTATGTACAAAAGTCTTGAAGTGAGGAAAGGCTCAATAAAGGAACTGAAAGATGATCAGTGTGTCTGCAGGAGAGGAAAAGGGAGCAGATGGTGCAAAACGAGGTCAGATTGGTTGATGTGAGTCATCTCACATTGGGCTTGGTGGACCATGGATGAATTTTTTTCCAAGAGAAATGTGAAAGTAGCCAAGGGTGTTATATAGGGGAGTGGCATATTGATCCTTAAATTTTTGGTAATTTTTTGTTTACTATCTGTCGTCTTTGCAGGAATTTATGGTCCATGATGCTCTACTACTCACTGTTGAATTTCAAGCACCTGGAATAGTGCCTGGCACATGGTGGGCACTCAATGAATGGATGAATGAATATCCCACTTTGTTTTCAAACAACTCTTGAAAACAGATAGAAAATTCATATTCTCATTTTATAGATGAGGAAACCGTGGCTTGTATGGCTCATATAGCCTGCCAAAAGCAGAGTCCTGACTTAATAATTACAAGCCTTTTGATTCCATGTCAGAGAATATTTCTTCCACTTATATCTCACATCTGCCTTTAGATAAAGGCGTTTCCCCAGTACTAAAATATTTCATTATTTCTGCATCTATTCATCTTTCCTCTTATTGAAAACCCACATCGTGCTCACTGATGACCTTTGTTTTCCAGACTTTCCCTCAGGTTTTCCCCTGCCTCTGTCCATTCTTACCCCATATTATTAGTAAAGCTGGAAAATCCACAAGGCTATTTTCTTGTATGAACTACAGCTTCAGTCTGGGCAGGTAGGCTTGGAAATTTGAGCTTTAATCTCATTCACTGCGTTATTCTAGATGTATTTATAACAGCATGCAAAGGAACAGGACCTGCCACATAGAAGGGACGCAACAAATGTTAGATGATTAGAAGCAAGAGGGAATGAAGTGAGACTTAGGTCCCCTGATTTTCACTTCCCACCTGTAGGCCCTTGAGCAAGTCACTTTACTATGACTATGTTTCAGTTTCTTCCTCTGGTAAATGACAGCTGTCAAATGTAGGATCCTCTTGTAGTTCATAATTATGATAATTGAGTTTTCATGGGTTGATGTGAAACATGCCTGTCTCAAACCTTGTTGCGATGTCAACACATTTTTGTCTGAAGTGAAAAGAAAAAACAACCCAGGATTGTGTTGAGGAAGTAAACTTGGAAGACAAAATGCTAGATATACATTTGGCCTCTTGGTTTCCCTCTTTACACTGGCTGCTGGGAAGCTCACTTTAAATTTGCATCCCACTTTTAGCAATGATACAAACCCTACAGTGTACTAGCCTCACCCTGACTCATCTTATTACCTTTACTTGTTCACAACTTTCACATCTATTAAAAAAATCATGTTATATTTAACTGTCTTCTGTTAGTAGCTTTAGATAATTTTTCAGAAAGCAGAATTTACTTTAGATTTATTCAATGATGATTCTTTTTTCACATGTAAATCTTATTTTATTTTTTAAAATTTTATTCATTCATTCATTTATTTATTTTTATTAAAACGTAAACACAAAGGTCATATATACATTAATGCATTTGTGGGGTACAATGTGCTGATTTCATATAGAATTAGGAATGCTTACATCACACTGGTTGATACATACCTCATCTCATTTACTTAATTATTGTGTTAAGACATTAATACTCTCAAGGATGATTCTGTATGGGGAAGTATTGGAGCTCATCCCTGTGAGGGAAACCTATGTGGAAAAAATCCAACTTCTGCCGGCCAGAAATCTGTAGTCTTCAAAAAAGTAGGGCAGGGAGAGTAAAAGATAAATCCATGACTGTAAAACAATACCAAATATGTTAAGTGTGTAGATGGTCGGGGGTGAAGAGCAAACAAAAAAGGCATCCCTCTGGTGTGATGGTGTCGAGAGATGTGTTTGTTAGTTTTTTTTTTGGAGACAGAGCCTTACTATGTCACCCTCAGTAGAGTGCTCTGGTGTCACAGCTCACAGCAACCTCAAACTCTTGGGCTTAAGCTATTCTCTTGCCTCCGCCTCCCAAGTAGCTGGGACTACAGGCACCCGCCACAACACCTGGCTATTTTTCTTTTTTCTTTTTTTTTGAGACAGGAGCCTCAAGCTGTCCCCCTGGGTAGAGTGCCGTGGCATCACAGCTCACAGCAACCTCCAACTCCTGGGCTCAAGCGAGTCTCCTGCCTCCGCCTCCCAAGTAGCTGGGACCACAGGCACCCGCCACAATGCCCGGCTATTTTTTTGTTGCAGCCATCGTTGTTTGGCGGGCCCAGGCTGGATTCGAACCCGCCACCTTGGGTATACACGGCTGGCGCCTTAGCCACTTGAGCCACAGGCGTCGAGCCTATTTTTCTTTTGTTGTTGTTGCAGTTTGGCAGGGGCCGGGTTCGAACCTGCCACCCTCGATAGATGGGGCTAGTGCCCTACTCACTGAGCCACAGGCGCCACCCTGTAAGTATTCTTTTGAGACAGGGTCTCACTCTGTCGCCCAGGTTGAAATGCAGTGGCATGATCATGGCTGACTGTAACCTTGAACTCCTGAGCTCAAGTAATCCCCCTGCCTCAGCTTCTGGAATAGCTAGAACTACAAATAGATGTCACCACACCCAGTTTATTTTTAATTTTTTTGTACAGATTGGGTCTTTTCATGTTAAGTGTGTAGATGGTTGGGGGTGAACCAGCCTGGTGATGCCAGGCTGATTTTGAACTACTCATCAAAATTTTGAAGCAACTCATCCACATTAGCCTCCCCAAGTGCTGGGATTACAGGCGAGAGCCACCTCACCCAGCCAAGTGTCTATATTGCTTACACATGCATACACATATCTGTATTGCTCACAAGATACTACACATCGAAGCAAATCATGTCTTAATTAATTTTGGATATTGTCTTTCTTTATGTTATATGGGAAACTCCAGCAGATTTAATGTGTTCATTCACTACCTAGTCAAACCCTATACATGTTCTTAAAACCAATCAAATCTGGTATTCTCATCATAAGATGTGGGATTAGTAGATTCCATGAAGACTTGTTTTTTTTCTTGCAACACTGGATTTCTAGGTGCCATTTGGATTGTGTTTAGAAGATGAAGAAGTATAGATGTTTCTTTATCTGAATCTCTTGAAGAGAGAGTGAGACCATGTGGAGACCAGCTGTTGACTGCAGGACATTGCCAACGGCTTTGTTGGTGACATTAGCTAGATTTTGAGCAGCCAAGGTATTCTTGGACGAGTTACTTGGAAGTGTTATTACAGTTCTCTTGGGCTCAAGTGATCCTCTTACCTTGCAGGAGGAATCCGTGAGCTGAGGAGTTCAAGACCAGCCTGAGCAAGAGCAAGACCCTATCTCTGCTAAAAATAGAAAAACTAGCCAGGTATCATGTCAGGCTCTATACTCTCAGCTGCTCAGGAGGCTGAAGCAGGAGGATTGCTTGAATCCTGGAGTCTGAAGTTGCTATGAGCTAGGCTGAGGCCATGATATTCTAGCCTGGGGAAAAGAGTGAGACTCTAGGAAGGAAGGAAGGAAGGAAGGAAGGAAGGAAGGAAGGAAGGAAGGAAGGGAGAGAAAAGAAAGGGTAAGAGGATTTTCATCCCCTTCCCTTTAGCAATCATTCCAAGAGTCCTATATATTAATAATACTTCTACTTATATTTAATTAGCCAGACCATAGTTCAACTCTATTAGTTGGAAAGCACTAAAGCTCGTTATTATGAATCTTACAATTGCCTAGATAAAAATTGAGTTTTCCTTTTCTTTCTTTATTTATTTTTGAGACAGAGCGTCAAGCTGTCACCCTGGGTAGAGTGCTGTGGCATCACGGCTCACAGCAACCTCCAACTCCTGGGCTTAAGTGATTCTCTTGCCTCAGCCTCCCAAGTAGCCACAATGCCTGGCTATTTTTTGGTTGTAGTTGTCATCGGTGTTTGGCAGGCCCAGGCTGGATTCAAACCTGCCAGCTCTGGTGTATGTGGCTGGTGCTTAGCTGCTTGAGCTACAGGCGCTGAGCCAAAAATTGAGTTTTCTTATGATGGGAGGAGAGGAAGAGAATGGAAGATAGGAGCTGATAGCAATCTGCCATTGAAGGGCTCCCAGGGGAGTGGGCATTTGAACCAGGTTGTGAAGGGTAAAGGAGACTTTATTGTCTATATTTTATTTTTTAATAGCTAATATATGTACACAATAGTGTTCTAATGATGTAAAAGGGAATCCAGTAAAAAATTCCCTGTTTGTAGTTCCCCAGGCTTCCTCTCCAGAAGTAACTACGGTCATAATTTCTTGGGGTGTACATATAAAAACATGTCTCTGGGCGGCGCCTGTGGCTCAAAGGAGTAGGGCGCCAGCTCCATATGCCAGAGGTGGCGAGTTCAAACCCAGCCTGGGCCAAAAACTGCAAAAAAACAAAACAAAACAGAACAGAACAAAAAAACCCCATATCCCTAAAAAAAGACAATAGAGGCTGGGCATAGTAGCTCATGCCCATAATCCTAACACTCTGGGAGGCTGAGGCAGGTGAATTGCTTGAGCTCAGGAGTTTGGCACTAGCCTGAGCAAGAGCTAGACCCTGTCTCTATTAAAAATAGAAAAATTAGCCAAATGTTGTGTCAGGTGCCTATGGTCTCAGCTACTCAGGAGGCTGAGGCATAAGGATCACTTGAGCCTAGGATTTTGAGGTTCTGTGAGCTATGATGCCATGGCACTCTGCCCAGGCCATCAGAGTGAGACTCTGCCTTAAAAAAAAAAAAAAGACTATTGAGTCAGGTGTGGTGGCTTACACCTGTACTCTCAGCTACTTGGGAGGCTAAGGTGGGAGGATTGCTGGAGATGAGGAGTTTGAGACCAATCTGGGCAACACAGTGGGACCACCATCTCAAAAAAAATAAGATTGGAATTTGTCTTAGACTATTTTGTGTTGCTATAACAGAATTCTTGGATAATTTATAAAGAAAAATGATTTATTTGGCTCATAATTTTGATGTCTGGAAAGTCCAAGATTGAGCAGCTGCCTCTGGTGAGGGCCTCAAGTTGCTTCCACCCCTGGTGGAAAACAGAAGGGGAGTGGGCGTGTGCAAAGAGAACGTGAAGAAAGGGGAAGCAAGAAAGAGAAACCAAGGAAGAGGAAGCCACACTCATTTTAACAACCTGATCTTTTGGGAACTAATTCATTCCTGAGAGAGTGAGAATTCACTCACTCCAGAGGGAAGGCATTAATCCATTCATGCAGGATCTTCCTTCATGAGCCAAACACCTCCCACTGGGGCCCACCTCTTAATACTGCCACACTGGGGACCAAATTTAAACATGAGTTTTGGCAGGGACAAACCAACTCTTAGCAAGAATATAAGTAGGCTCGGCACTTGTAGCTCAAGCCACTAGAGCGCCAGCCACATACACCGGAGCTGGGGGATTTGAATCCAGCCCAGGCCTGCCAAACAACAATGACAACCACAACCAAAAAATAGTTGGGCATTATTGTGGTGGGCGCCTGTAGTTCTAGCTGCTTGGGAGGCTGAGGCAGGAGAATCCCTTGAGCCCAAGAGTTGGAGATTACTGTGAGCTATGATGTTACAGCACCCTACCCAGGGCAACAGCTTGAGGCTCTGTCTAAAAAAAAAAAGAGTATAAGTTTACTAGTGCTTTGGAGAACACCGAAATACAGGGAGTTGAAAACAGAACAGAGGATGTTATTTCTGCCTAATATAAGGGAAAGAAAATTAGGAAAGGTTAGGGAGAAGAATAGTCCTTTTGAGATGGGCCTTCAACGATAATATGTAGGACTTTTTTAAAAGATGAGGGAAGAGTGTTCATGCAGAGAAAATAGCACAAGTGAGGGGATGATAGTGGATCAATCTGGGTCCAATCAAGAGATAGAAAACACACAGTAATTTAAACGGGAAATCTTCACGTGAAGAACTATTAAGCTATGGTAGGACTATAAATAGCTAAGTAGCTGTAAACATGAGGGGCCTAAAGGATACCCTAGGCCTAAGGGAGGATACCCAAGGAAGGACAAACCTGGAATGAGGGTGCTCTCCCCAGACTGAAGTTAGCCCTCGTTAGAGAAACTGTGGTTGTAGCCCCCTAGATGGGGATGAAGTCTGTCAGGTTGCCTGGGCCAGAGCTGGTCCACCGTT